CTGATACAGAATTTAAAAGTACACGTAAGTCAACCAATATGAAACCTGCACACTTACATCTTCACGGATTGTGATCACTCAATGTTTGTGAGATTCAGTTATCAGAAAATGGATAAAAAAAACTTTGTTAATTTTCTAAAAAAAATGGGGGTTGAATCAAATGTCAAGTCCATTCACCGTTTGATAGCATTAATTGAGACTTGAAACTCAGTTGACACCGACTGAGAAAAATTAAATATGACGTGTAAAATATTGATGTTCATTGCCTCTTCGAAAACCTGTGCACAGATTCACTTTTGTTTAAATGCTTCGATGAAACTTGACGATAAAGCATTGCTTCAAAGAAAATGAACCGTGTCATATGCTCGTCACAAAGTCATTCCTGTGCACATCATATTCATCTACAATTCCATTCATCACATAGTCATTCCTATATATTATCCTTTCACATTGAGAAGTCGTTGAGATTACACATTCAAATCTATTCGTCTGTCATCTACAACAAACAAACACTGTAGTCAGAGTTAGTTGATCGATTTAAATATCCATATGTTAGATAAACAATGAGATTCTCAAGTTGAGTTTGTAAATAAACGCTCCACTACTTATGTGATACACACTTGGAGTCGATGGTTACAAGAAAAGTTATACACCTATCTTTCAAATTCTAAGTATTTTTAATCTTTTATTTGTAGAGACTACTCCCCTAGTAACTACTCTGATATATGCAAATGGGAAGATATCTATCTATTATGAGAACGTAAGTTACAAAATTGAATGGAAATATAATTTTGTTTCAAGTACTTGAGTTCAATCTACTATTTCATATTTATGAATACTGTCGAATGTATTAAGCTACGCTGAACACGATATAAAAAGATCAACATTTTGTCATGTGCCAACATTCATCAATGTATCATCTGAGCACAGCTTCCTTGAATCTATAAACAATCACATTTCATGACAACTGACGTAGATTTTCGTCCCACAGTGTGTCAACATATTTCATGATAGACTGTTCAGTCATCAAACTTGACTGAATTCGACAACTGACGTGATTCAGGATATTTATGTACACCAGATGGAACACACTTCCAAAGAAAATGAGAATATCAATATACGTCATGTAAGTGTGGTTAAGATAATTTGAACGAAGACCCATTTCTATAATGATCAATTTGTTTTGATATAAGAGGTTGTATGCTGACCAATCCTCGTTCCATGGTTCTTTCCAGATTCTTTCGGAAATTAACGAAGACAGGATATTAGGAATCCTAGGAATCTTTCAATGTGAAACAGGTGAGAAACTTTGCAAAGGATGATGTTAACAGTTTGATGTACGGTGACGTATAAAATCAATCATTTGTTTGCTGTGGCACATATAACCGGCATTCTGGAGTAAAGTAACTAAGGTGTATGAATGTTTTTTATAGCAAACGTTTGGGTGGTTAGGTACTTGTGGAGAGCGATCAACTGAACAAGTCAGTGATATATGAACGACTAAATTAGGCAGACAAAGTATCGACTTGTTTTCCACGCGATTACTCACAATACGACAGTCACACTTGCCGTTTTCATTCATATCACCACTCAATGCATGACAAAGTGTGTTCTATATATGAAAGTGATGAATAAGAGGCATCTGTAGCTAATGGTTTCTTCACACAATGCTCAATCCTATGTGTTGTCGAAAGATGAAGCTGAGTTTCAAGCTGAGTGAATGAGTGGAATACAGTGTTTCATGATCACATGTGAGAAAATGCACCAAATATTTGGTCAAGTAGTATAGATTACTCGGTTGAAGTGCATTACTGAGTCAGCAAAAAAATGATGGAAATTGTCATTTCTATCTTGCTCGTTTGAATTCTCTCACCTGTCTCTTATTGATTCATGCGGTTTCTGTGATGATTGCTTCGATGTTGTCTTTGATCACAAGCATTGTAGGCAAGGATGGATGGTGGCTAGCAGTGGAATCGATTGCCCTCAATAATGAACATGAGAAGATTCAATCAATAAAGCAGGAATGAAATAACGTTTCAAGCTTTGTACAAGCCACTGGGTGTTTGGACTGAATTGTTAAGTCAATATCCGTATGGCGTTTGAACTGGATGGTCCTGATCTCTTGTCCACGAGTAAACATCAACGCCGAGATGCAGGAATATCCAGCTGCGACGTTTTAAATGAGAAGGAACGCTAGTCATCATTCGTCTTTATCTGATGCTCCCATGTTTTTTATTTGTAAGCTGATTCATGAAAGGGTGTTTATTGGGTTGAACTTAAATGTTTCTGTTGTTGCTCATAAAGGAAATCCAAATGTTAGATTTTTTCTGTTCATTTTGTCACACAAGGTGAGACAGAACATCAGATAGCTGTACCTAAAGAATGGATCAAATATGGCACGTTAGTGGAGTATGAAGTCATCGGCAGTACGTTAAACCTCATTTATCACCATTTTCTATTTTCACATTTGAATCCCTTCCTTTTATTTCAGTACGCTGAA